CAAGGAGGGAGGAGGGAGCGGGTAGAAAATATGGTTGAAAGGAGCTGAAAAGCAGGAACCACTGGGGGACCCCGGCTGGAACCCCTCGGCATCTTTCCCTCTCCACCGTGTGCCCATGGAATTTTAGCTCTCTTCCTCCTCCATTCTCTCTGCAACCCTCCCAAGGCCCAAATTCCAGTTTTTCATAAAGGAAAACAGCAGGTTGTGCATTTGAGAGAAAGTCCCAAAGAAGATGCAGGACAGAGAAAAATTCAAACCGCCTGCGGCTTGTCAGAGTCTACCACACACTCCTGCCCCTTGCCCCACAGCCCTGCTATAAAGAGCACTTAGAGGAGAAATACGTTGCTTAGTGTGGTGCCGAGGAAGACAACTAATCTCTCACGACTCCTGTTCAGGGCGCGCCCTCCCGACTGTGGACCCCACTGCTCACCATAAATAACCAGTGAAGAGGGGGGCAAAGCAGAGGGATAGGGGCTCCCGCCTGAGCAAGAATGCAGGGTGCAAACAAGCCCCTACACTCTCAGGCATCTTGGAAAGGGCCCACAGATTTCTCAGAACCCTTGTCAGGAAGCCATCTTTATAGTCGGGGATTTGAACAGATTTTACGATTTATATCATATGAAGCCACAGGAAAGACTTAAACCAAATGAAAAAAAAAAAAAAAACCAAACCAAAACCAAAACCAAAACTAAAACTTCGAAAGATTTGCAGCATTCGAGATTGGGAGGAATGTCCCTCTCCATCTTTGGCACCGTGTAAAACTGTACTCTTTTCCCATTTACATGAGTTCAAATTGATCAGACTTGTCTACCACAAATCTGATGCTGGTTTATAAATACATTGCCACGGGCTGGGATTCATCCTGAATCCCAGCCTCATGGAGGCCTCTTGGAAAAGGCTATTTTCCCTGTCAGACCAAGGGGATTCTAGAGCTGCCACGACATAAAATTGGAGAGATTATTTCACTGACCAGGGGTCACATTAAGAGGATTGTTACAGAGCAGAAAAAGTGTTGTGTTTCCCGTGAACTTGTCCCTGCCATCAAGAAAACTGTAATTTACAGGGGGTTTCTGTTATTTAAAAGAGACAAATTTTTCTGCAAAAAAAAAAAAAAAAGTTTACAATCTCAACATGCACAGGCTAATATAAATTGTTATCAGCGACTATAATGTTAAACAGCAACAATGAAAACAGGGGAGCTGAAGTGCTTAGCTCTTGGGGAACCTGCTGACTTAGGAGGGCTATGTCAAAAGATTTGCCTGCATATTCCTGAATAAGTAGAAATAATGAGATCAATGTTAAGGCTGAAATCAACAGTGCCTATCAGGTTGATAAATGCTAGTTTCAATAAAAAATCAACTGCAAGTTAGTTCTCATGATTTGACTAGAGAACTGAAAGGCTAAAAACTGCCATCCCTCAAAACTGCAGTGATTCTTGGACTGGAGAGCATAATAAGATTTTATTTTCATACAGAAAGATGGAGTGTGCTCCATATCTCTAGTCTCTCTTTCAGGTTTGTACTGGCCAGTGAGATTGTGGTGAGGCAGGGAGGGAATCAGATGCCTCCCGTGACCTTGACCTTGACCGTGACCATGGGAACTGCTTGCCTGTGAGGGAAGTAAAGGTGAGTGCAGGAATCTCCAGTTGTTTTTCTCATTATCATAAATATTAAACCAACTAATTTATTAAATCTAGCCCCCCCAAAAAACTGGAAAAATAAACACCCCCTCCCCCCAAATTAACAGATTGCTTTGTGTCCTTCAGTTTTGATAGAGAAGAGAGCTGTGTGGTGTGATTCACCCTTTGCAAGAGATGCTGGGGATGGAAGAGAGATGATTTTAGTATCAGAATGTCAGGCTTTGGTTACAGCACTAAGACTAACATACCAGCTTGATTTCATGCCAGGCAAAGTACGTGTGCATCAATCCACAGGTGGGGTTAGAACTTGCAAACTTTTAGAGGCCCTATTATTTAAGGCAGTGGAAAAAGGAGTGGGGGAAGTGAACATCTGTGATTTTAGACTAATATCATCTCATGCCTCATCACTCATGCCCCCGGGGGCATGCAACTGAGGACAGGGATTTTGGTTTGTTTTTAGTTTAAGTATGTCCCAGACATCGCACAGGTCATACTTAGGCTTAAAAGGGGGGAAATTGCTGTTGTTGAAGAACTTGCAAATTTAAAGAATTATTGTCGCTAATCAGAACCAAAGGACCCAGAACCAAAGAAAAATATAAAAGCTGAGGTCCAGGGGATTCCAGGTGGGATGGTAGTTCAGGATACTGAGAAGGTAAGTTCATGATTTTCAACTGAAGAAGACAGAGGGTAAGGGAGGGTGGTCGGTTAAATCTGGCCACAGATTATTTGCAGCTCCTTTCATGGGGCGGTGGGGGCCATTTTGCCTTCCTTTGAGTCAGGGCCAACTCTGTGACCTATTTTAGCTAACAGAATGCTGCAGAGATAACGCAGAACTTTCCAGCCTGGCCTCAGGACATCTGGAACCATAGGACTATCATGCTGTGAAGAAGCCTGGGATAAAAGAACAGGTAGAGAGAGAGGCTCAGGTGTCCCGGCCATTCCGGCCATCTCAGCTGAGAGCCCCAAATGTGTGGGGGAGTCCATATTCAAGACAGACTCAATCACAACTGCAGCTCCCTGCAGCCTGGTGAGTGAGACCAAGGGAGACACCAACAGGTGACTAATACAGGGAGGTTACCAGAACTGTGTGTGTGTGTGTGGGGGGGAACACTAGCTCTTCAGGAGAGGTAGACAGAGAGAGAGAGAGCGAGAGAGAGAGAGAGAGTTCCTAAATTGTGTTAGCACTCAAATAGATGGCCAGTGTCTGACCTAACTCGGGAGAGGGTCTGTGGGTATTGAATAGGTTAAGGTATGCGAGCAAACATTCAATCTCATGGGGTGAAGGACAAACTAGGAAGAGAGGATTGAGAGTGGTCAAGAAGACAGCAACCAGGAGTACTTTAACCCAGCTAAAAACAACTAAACTGACAGTATGTGTATCTAAAGCTCATCTGCATTCTGTGTGGTAGAAATCCTGAGATCTTTTTGATTAAGAGAAAGATAATCATAGACGCTCTGTGACTTTATTCATTGTCTGTGGGGGCTGGGTTCTAACATTTGGTTTTGCCTCTCACCAGCCTTTGGAGAAGTCACTATGGGAAAGAAAAAACACCTATGGTTTTTTTGTTTTGTTTTGGTTTGGTTTTTCACAAAGGAGGCAAGCAGAACTTATGCGATCATTGCTTTGGAAGTCTTGCTCCCCCCACCCCAATTCTTTCATTGCAGTGGGTTGAATGGGTAGGTGAACAGCCGATGAAAGGATGCATATCCCAGACACAGCACCAGGATACAGCTTACCACCTGAGCTTTGCAGCACAGACAGGCTTGGGACTGTCCAGCCCAGCCGACAAGGGGAAAGAGATGGTCTAATGATCTCCATCCTGCTTTCACATGCTTTCCTTTTCCTAAACTGTTCTCTCCACCATACCTCAGGCCAAGGGTTCAAGCAAACTCATCATGGTGAGAAGGAACTGAAGACAAAACAAGGTGAGTCAAATGTACCTGATAGTCTAATACCTACCTTGCCAGGTCCTTGCAAAGATTAAATGATAGGATGTTGAGTATAAGCATCTGAAAATATAGTAAGTGTGTGACAAATGGTAGCTATGTTATCTACCTGTGGCTTTACAATAGGACTTAAAACATCCATATAGAACCATTTTCAATTTAATTTTGCATATGATTGTATGTTTTTTAGCCTCAATTGCCTGAAAATAGTGACTGTATTGTGTGTGTGTGTGTGTGTGTGTGTGTGTGTGTGTGTGTACACACTGGTCTATAACAGGTAGCTCCTGTTAAGCACTCCACAAATATGTGCTGACTGAAAGACATGTTGAAGTGAATAAAAAGAGGAGTGGGGCGCCTGGGTGACTCAGTCGGTTAAGCGTCTGACTTAATTTCGGCTCAGGTCATGATCTCAGGGTTGTGAGATTGAGCTCCATGTTGGGCTGTGTGCTGAGCATAGAGCCTACTTAAGAGTCTCTCTTTCCCTCTCTCTCTTCCTCCTTTGTTCATACACGCATGCTCTCTCTCTCTCTCCCTCAAAAAAAAGAAAAAAAAAAAGAGGAGCAAAAAGGACTGTGCATGTCTACGAATACGCTTACTATTTTCAGCCTGGATCTGGATGCCACAGCTTCACTGCTAGGGCGCAGAGAAAATCCTCCAGGATCTCTGTGTACCTACAGCTAGCAGACCTAAAGGCTGCTCCAATCCTTTCCCCCTCAAAGATAGCCAAGCCAGGCAGGTTTTTCCCTTTACTCCTGTTCTTAATTCCTAGAAACACTATGAACATGGGAAGCTGAAAGTACTGGTCAAGATATGGGATCTATCCATGTGTTTATGCCTCTAAAGGACCATGAGAGAAATATGCTAAGGTACATGCTAGTTCCAGCAACTGTCTAACCACGGAAGACATGCGAGTCCCAGATGTTTTCAAAGAGAATGAAGCATGGCTTAAGTTGAAAAGATGAATGAGATCCAAGCAGAAAAAAAGAGAGAGAGAGAGAGAGAGAGAGAGACAAGCCAAAAAACTGGAAAAAACCATGCTCATGTAATCCTCAGAATGATCAGCTATGAACATGGATTTTGTACCCGGTCCCCACCAGGCAACTTAAAGCGCTTCCCAAAACAATGCAGCATATTATGTCAGGACGCATTTGTTTTTGTCTTTTATTTTTCAATCAATCAGCTCACCAGTATCCTGCGAAGACCTGGATATGAGAATTATTTCTAGGAGCCACTCGGTCACAGTGACCCACATGGGTCAGCGGTCTGTGGTTCCGTCTGCCTCACATCAGCAGGGGGTGTCAGCTAAAAGGTGGGGAGCATTTCTACTGTTCTGAAGACAGCCGGGTTGAGAGCCCGCTTAGACGGTTCAGTTGCTTTGTGGATAAGTGCCCCTTGGTTCGCTGCGCCTACTTACCGTGGTCCAGGATATACTTCACGATCTCCCCGTGGCCGGTTTTGGCTGCGTGGTGGAGGAGGGAGCAGTGGTCCGGCCCCTGAATTAGCAGACTGCCTCCATTTTTATAGCTTTCCATTAGCTGAGAAAGAGACACAGGAAAAGAAGCTCAGGCAGAGTCCGGAACAAGGGAAAGTACAGCTAACCGGTGATAAAATAAGAGTGATGTAGCAAACCACAAATGTTTCTAGCCTCGGAGGACGCTGAGGAGTCAAAGAGATGAAGCAACGTTCCTGCACCGTGTTAGCACTCGGATAGCTGGCCAGTGTCTCCCCTCCCTCTGGAGAGGGTCTGTGGGCACTAAAATGTGGAAGCTGAAACGTGCTGAGTGAGTTATTTCTTTTCTGTTTGATGTCTTTTTCTTTTCTGGGCACTGGTCGCTGTCCTAAGAGAGTGAAGGGCAGCAAAGAGAAGAAACACTTTCCCATGTTGGCTCGGCTTTCTCTGGAGTGAAAGAGTAATTAAGGCCGGAGACAGGAAGAGCTTGGTGTCTGGTAGCTAAGCTCCTTTCCGAGCCTATGGTTTCTCTCCAACCTCTAATGAACCTAGCTACCAAATACAGAAGCTCCTTCCCATTTTCCCGTGGGAGATGGTGGTACATGTGTGTACAGCCTCTTTCTTCTTCCAGATCTGCAACCCAGCCAGCATGCCTTCTGTTAAATCATCCAATCCATACCCAGTGAGGCTAGAGATGATCCACAGGACGAGAACCCAAAGGATTCAGAGAATGTGGCAGGAGAAACCTAAAATACCTGTATTGTGAGAACAGACTGGAAAATGACCAACAGATTTTGCAGCCCGAGAATCACGGGGCAAAATGAGGATGCGGTCTGATTTCATGAAATACTGAACATTACAGAAAGTGTAAATGGGTCCCTGTTCTCCAAACTGCAGTATAGGAGAACAAAAAGAGTCTTTCTGGAACTTCTAAAAGGTAGTTTCAGGACAAATAAGAATACAATAACCCGGCAGGTACCAAGCAAAAGGAATGGATCTATCACCAAGAAGTTAGATGGCACACTAAAAAAAAAAAAAAAAAAAAAAAAGTAAGCCTCTCATAAGGTCACAGAAAGTAAACTCATATCCAACCATGGAACTGCCATGTGGCAGATGCCAGGGAAACAAAGATGAATAGGACTTGGTCATTGGCCTCAAGACCTCGCCATCCATGGGGAAGACAGATGTCAAAGACACATACAGGAATGGAGAGGAACATAAGGAGGTTCTCATAGGGTGAAAAAAGAGTCAGGGAAGGCTTCCTAGAAAATAGGCCAAAAAGGACTAGTTGAATGGAAGTAAAGAACATATGGGGACTTTTTCTTTAAACTACAAGGCTATAGGACGGCAAGAGGTAGCTAATAGTTTTCCAGAAAGAATCTAAGCATATCCAGTACTGTTCAACCTTAGTCTTACACTGACACTCCCTTTCTTCATAGGCAGATCCATAAGGGATTTGGGCTCAATGGAGTAGCACAGACCCAATCCATCAGCTGCCTGGATGCTGCCTTTCTGTGGGGTTTTTGGACACTGCGGACATGAAGTTAGTCCGTGGGTATCTTATGCAACTCGGGTGCACAGCAGACGCTCCCAACAGCCTTCACACTGGATGGCTCCTGGGGTCTTTGGTTCTCTGCTGTCTGCTGTGTGCTCTCTCTCTTACAGACACACACACAGTTTAATATCTAATATTTCTTCTGCTTTCTGCGTGGTATGGAATAGACAAACAGAAGAAGGTGGAAAAGAAGAAAGAAAAGGGGAAGAAAAACTTGGGAAGGAAGGAGAAAAAGAACGAGAAAGAAAAACTAAGTCACTGTATTTCATCTTTCCATAAATAAGGTTAAGTAATTTCTTAGGCACTTAGGAAATGATTGTAACAGAGAACGTAATAAGACAACCTACTGAATATGGCAATTTCCCATATTTCAAATAATTCTCTATTAAGTACAAAAAAAAGTGGGGTTGTATACACCAGGGACCCAAAAAATATGCTGCCTAGACTAAAAGCATATGCAAAATGAGATTAAAAAGGTTTCAAATGTACAGTAGCTTGCACATTTTTTTGGCTTAGAAGCTCTGCAAGGGCAGGAATCACGCCTTACTGCCCAAAGCATCTAATATAAGGCCTTGCAGGGAGTCTGGGATAATATTGGTTCAATCCACTGCTTGGCAATAGCATCAAACTCCCAGGTACACTGCTTGGAGAGTACTTTTGTCTTGTGGGTGACAATTCTTCGATGTAGACTGTGCCACAGGCACCATTTCCAGAATTATGTGTCTAAAGATGGCAGTTTATCAAGAAGCTTGCAAGCTTCTCACCATTTCTTTCCTATGAGTAACCTGTTAACATTGTAGCACAGAGGTTTCTCAGTTGATTCAACAGATGTGCTTCAAAAAAAGTTGCATGCAAGGTCAGTGCTTCTCAGCTCTGTTTTAAGGCTTTTGGTTTCTCGATCTGCAATGGCACCATACTCCACAGGCTGGTGAGTAAGGCAGAGCCTCTGTCCCTACACAGCTGCTGATATTATAGAGCAGATCGATGCCAATGTGGGTTATACAGGGATATACAGTCAGTCACGAGTCCCAATGCCTGAAAATGACATGAGACCAAATATAGCTTTTAGAATACTCATGGACTATACTATATAACAAATATTTGCATCTCCACTATGTTTATTAAAAAAACATGGACTAACACTACTAGCTAGCATTTTAGAGTCCCTTCTATGGAATAAAAACAGTCTTAAGAGGTTCACATGTATTGTTACAGTTGATCCTCACAACAAAGGAGAGAGGCAACATTATTCAAGTTTACAGATGAAGAAACTGAGGCACAGAGAGAATCAGATAATTATACAAAGTCACACATACAGTGAATGGCAGAGCCAAGATCTGAACCCAGGCAGTCTGACTCCAGAATGTGCATTCCCTCTAGAGGCAGCAGTGACCACTTCCTTCTCTCTGAACTAAGAAAACATAAGCTTGAATTAAAGTGTTCGAGGGAGATGAGACGGAGTATGTTCTTTTGGTTTAACTGTGATCCCCAGAGTACAAAACTGTAATCATGTTGGAAGCTGTAGGCTCTGGCCTGGAGAATGTATTTCTGGGTGTTGTCCAGATAATACTTACAGATGCACTCATTTCAAGACCTGTCTAAAAAGAAACCTTTAAACTGCAAATATCAGCTTCTAGAGAGCAGGAATTCCAGACACTGTGAGCACTGCATCCAGGGAACGTGCAGCCCACGTTAACGAGTCGAGACAACCAGCATGGTACCCCTGCATACATTCTCCACTGTTGGGAAACGTGGAGATGCTGTGAAGACTCCTTTGGCCCTCCCTGCCCAGTCGTCAAAAGAGCATCCTTCCCCTTCCGAGTCATTTAGCACAGGCAGGGGGATGATACATGACGTACGAGAGATCATGAATATTTGGTGAGAAATGATGTTAAAGTTCGTAAAGACTCACCAAAAGTTTGGGTAGGAAGATATCTTACCTTCATAAGATCACCAGCTATTACTGCCTGCAAAATTGCTGTGGGAGACAAAAGAGAGATGTCCCATTAGTAGAAGACCCTCTAATTAAAAAATCCCCAAGGGCTGGATCCATATTTTGTAGAAATAGTCTACATTTGGGGCAGGAATCAGGGAAGGAGAAGCATGCCAAAGGTTGCATCTTGCAACAGGCTGAAGCCTCCTCTTCATCCCTTCGCTACCCGGGCACCCATTCTATCCTACCTGGACACCCCCTCATGAAACTTGGAGCCACAGAGATTGGATTCAAATCTTAGCTCTGACACAAGTTGTGGGTGAATCACGGAAACCCTCTGAGCCCGGTTTCCACATCTGTCAACCAGCAAGTCTAAATCTTACAGAATGACTAAAATGGTCGATGAAATCATATGGATGTTCTCAACTCATCTATGAGGTGGACTGGGTGCCTAACCGTGATTGCTTCTGCTCCCTTCTTTCCAGTTCCTTCCACTTTGTCCTCTTGGGGTTCCAAAAATCACTAATAATTTTGCTCTGTAGTGAGGGACAAACACCTACCATTATGGAAATGAAGAGGACTGGAGGTAGTGAGGAAAGAACATGTATGCTTTTTTATGTTCTGAAGAAAATAACCATGCGGTCAGCATCTAATCCACTGGCGACTCTTACGGAAAGAATTCAAAGACTTAGGAAACCTAAACTAATTGTAAAAATATGTAGCTCCAGGGGCAAAAATCGAAAGGCACATACAAGTCACTTGGGAGGTAGAGGAGGGGACTGGCGAGAGAGGGCAGGATGTGTGAGCATCTAATGACAGTGTTGGTTCCTGAACAGAACATGTGCATTAGGTTGGAAAAGGTCCTTTAGAAAAACAAATACCTAGGTTCTAGGACTACCGAAAAAACAGATTATTGTAAGGCTTGAATAGCACAAAATTTTAGAAGTAACTTAAATTTTATTTCTTAAGGTATCATTTTATTTTTATCTTTTTTTATGATTTGTTTATTTTAGAGAAAGAGAGAGCATGAGTGGGAGGGGTAGGGGGAGAGAGAATCTCAAGCAAACTCCCTGCTGAGCTCAGAGCCTGACTTGGGGCTCAGTCTCACCATCCTGAGATCATGACCTGAGCCAAAATCAAGAGTTGGACGCTTAACCGACTGAGCAACCCAGGCACCCCAATGCAGTGCCTTTTCACAATACTATAAACTTGATAACCTATAAAGACTATTTCCTTCCCTTTTCTCCAGGCCTTACAGAGCTAGTGGAGCTCTACTGGACAGAGGCCTGGACTGGACACAGGGACCCGCATTATGGTGACAATTGGGCTGCTCACTTGCACACGAATGTGTACTCTCTCTCTCTCAAAATAAATAATATTTTTTTAAAAAGGCACTGGACTAGAGTCTAATTCTAATCTCTAACTTAGCAGACATGTAAGCTTAACAAGTCAATGTTTCGGAACCAGTTTTCTTATTTGTAAAATAAACAGCTGTCTTGCTCATCTCTCTATCATAAGAACAAAACCAACAAATGAAAGCTTTATAAGTTCAAAACAATAGAGTGCTTACTTTTTCAAGATTATATTGAAACATTTCCCAGAAATGAAAAGAAAAAGAAAAGAGAAATAGAGAAAAGAGAGAGAAAAGAAAAATGAGTTCATTAATTTAAAGCACTTCTGCAATAAAATTTGGTGTATATAAGCAGCAAATCAAGACAATAAAGGAATTCCCCAGGACAAAGTCTATTTGAGGAGCAGCAGGAAGGGAAGAGAGAAAAGAAAAAGAAAGGAAAGGAAAAGAAGGGAGGAAGAACGAAAAGAAAGAAAAATATCAGAAGTTGGGGGAAAACTTATTGGTTAGCTGTGGAGTTCAAAGATTTCTTGGAGGAGGCGAAGTTCAAGCCAACTCTTCCATGGTAAGTGGAATTAATTAGCAAAGAGGATTTGGAAAATCCTTGCAAGACGAAGGTAGGATCTGAACAAAGACAGGGAAGTTAAGTTGTGATGCCTAAGGGAACCTTCGAAGAGCTGTATATCATCCTCCCTGGGGTGGGAAGTGGCTGCAGATAAGGTGCTGCAGAGTCGGAGGGACCCCCCTGCCCCGCCAGTGAGCACCTCTTCTGTCAAGATAAGGCACTTGGAGTTTATCCTGCAGGTGGTGAGGAACCATTGCAGAGGTAAAAATACACCAGAGAAGCATATAAATGTCAACCATGCCAGTTTGATCCCACCCTCCCCTCCTGGAAAGAGAATTATGACCTGCTCTCTGCTCATTTTCTCCAGATTGCCCAATATTATAGCCTCTTTAAATGTCTACCCCAGACTCATTCACAAGTACTACTACGTTTGTTGGTTTCCAGCAGCCTCCCGATTTAAAGTCCCCATGAACAGGTAGAAGATCATATAACAGAATCATAACCACAAATAATTTCCAATTGTACTGGAGATGGAAAGCGGGGATATTTATTCTGTAGTCAAGCAATACACCCAAGGGTAGCTATTATGCAAACATTATTAGGCTCAAGGCTCACTTCTCTCTCCTGATTAATGTCCTTCCCCATGAACATTGCTGTTTAAGATTTCCTCTGCATAAAGAGAGCTTGAATCTATTAGTATTCAACTCCAGATAATAACCTTCTGAAAGATCAAGCTTCAAAAACAAATAATGAGTTATGATTACAGTATTATTCTTTATTATTTCTTGAGCTCCAAGCTTACCTTCCTGCCTTTTCCAAAACTCTTTCCAACTGGGGAAATCATGATCCCAAATGCAAAGAAGGGAAGTCAAATTGCTGATGGGACGTAAAGGTAATTGAGTAGATGGATAGTAAGTTTCTTGGACAATTAAATCACAGAAACGTACGTAGTTAGGCAGGAGAGTAAGGGAGTAGAGAACTGAGAGATCTGTCATTTTTAGAGCTTAGAAGCAGAACCATTAATTCATATGAAGTGGTTGATATTTCCTTCAGTGCTCTGCCTTCCAATAAATTGTTATCCAGTAAACATCTTGGGACTGAGAAGTCAGGACTGCCAGAAAGGAATCCCCCATCTTCCTTCTTACTCTCTCCCTCTAGGGCCTCGATTCCCAACAGTCTGGATATCCTCAGAAATTGTGCATGAAGGCACAATGGCTACCCACTGGAATCAGGATAAGGGATAAAACAATTCATAGGGTCGCTGCTTCTGCCCTGCCAGGCCCTGTTTGAGGTTCTGGGGATACCTCCGTACAAAGCAAACTCCCTCCTCTTAGAGAACTGGCATTTTGGCAAGAAGTCCAAATTAGGAAGGGATACATCATAACTGAGCCAAGAATCAGACTGCCTGTGAGTCCCGGGGAGCACCATGAACTGGCTGTAACCTTGGGCAAGTTACAGTTTACCAACTGTCAGTTCTCTCGTTAGAAAAATGAAGATAAAGTCAATACTTTTGGAACTCTGCCTTTCAAATCAGCTCAAGGAACAGAGGACTGACTATTACAGTCTCCTATGTAGAACACCATGGAATCCTGATGTTTTTGACCTCATGACACAGAAAAAGAACCATTTCTCACCTATGAAATGAGAAGGTTAGATTAAGGCAATTACAACTGTAGAGTTTGCCATCTGATTACTTCCAAAGGGATAGTTTAAGGTTGCAGTTTTTGCTATGCCAATGAAAATATTTAATAAAATGTATACAGGGCTTGGCAAAGCCACGTATATGAGTTCCCAATAAATCAACTGAAATAACTACATCATATAGTCTAGTCTCAACTCTGAACACTTAGGTCTATTTAAGAAGTTTAAGCTTTCATGTTATTTCTCAGTTCTTAAATTAATATTCTATTTCCAAACTGCTTGTCACCTACTAATGATAGCAGTCACTTAAATCTTTTTTTAAAAAAATTTATGGAAGAAAAAAATTAAAAGTACAAACCACCACCATCGAACAAAGAATAGCTTGTAGAGCCCTGGGTTGGGGAAGAAATTAGTTGCTGCACTGAGAAGCATAAATATATATCTGGCTTTGCCAAGTTCTGCATACTTTTTACTCCTAAATATTTCATCCGTGAAGCAAGAAGCACGTCCTAGAACTGTCCCTTCAGAAGCGGTCATATTCTACATTCCAGAGCTATTTTGGGTCCTAGCCTAAACTTCTCATTTCATAGATGAGAAAACAGGCTTGAGAAGTAAATGGACTTTTCCAAGGTCACACAGATAGTTAGCAATCCAGATGACAGAGAGACTCTTATTTTTTTTTCTTTGTTTCTTTTACATTTTCTTTAATGTTATTGCATCTGACCCCTATGTTAGAATTCCTTCCACCATGCTGTTTCCCCTTGAACCTGGAGCAAGGTGGGCAAAAACTAAAACAACCCCAAATAAAAGTTTCATGAATGCATCACATGCAAAATGAAGTCAGTTTAAGGCTTCAAGGTCCAACACCTTTTATGCCAAAGGAGACACTGCATATCGAGCGCACCCAGGGCAGACGTTGCATTCACAATTCCATTGATCTGATCATGATGGGCATCTTCCTACTTCTCCTTTATTCAGAGTCACTTATTGCTTCGTCACCGGATGGCTTGCATTGTCAGCTGCTCAGGAGCCTACTTCTTTTAGATACCTACTTCTGCAGAGCTTTTCCTGCATTTTCCTTATCAGAAGTATTCTGTCCGATTTTTCTACTCTGTAAGCAGTCAGTCATGGGACACGAACAACAAACCGTGAAGGCTTAGCTCCCCAAAATGGAACTTAGTATAATCATCAGATACAGCAAAGGTAACTAACACTCATTTAATGGTATGGGTAACTACTGTGAATTATGCTAATGAGGCATAAATGAGAAGCAGCTCATGAAAATGACTGTAATTAGTATTATTTTACATAGTCATATTCAACAAGGTGAGGTGAGAGGAAGGAGGAATTAGATATTTTGAAAGACCTCTGCATTTTAATATGAGCCCAGAGGAGGTTTTGACAACTGATAATAAGCTATGTGCCAAATTATTTGTTAATAGCTAAAATACTGAGGGTTTTTAATATATTGGAACAAATTCAAGATCA